TAGCTGCGAGGATCTCTTAAATTTCATCTTTCCACCGCAGTGCAAATATGTGAAGTTATTGCTTTTCTTTTGGAGAATTCACATGAAAAGAGCGTAAGAACGCGAGCTATTTCAACGGATACTGGTAAATGTTAAGTTTGCTTAGAAAATCAGTCTGTTTGGGAAGAATTTTGCTCTAATAAACAATCAATAGATAAATAAAACAAAGGAGAGGAACAGGTGACATGTTCAATCACCATGTTGTAGCGAGTGATATGACAACGTAGGTTAACTGATTGTCACATGTTGATCATAACAACTTCCCTTGCACCTGCAACGTTATTTTTAGTAGTAGTCGGGGAGGAATTCCAAATTGAATTTTACAGTTTTGAGGCCTAAATAAACTTTAAAATTAAGTAACTTTTGCTATGCCTTACAACCTGAAATGTTGCGCAAGAGATTCAGAAGGTCTGTGAAATTATGCAAATCATCGCCGTTTGATCAGTAACGAAGATTTTACGATAACAAAGCGAGGCCAACTACCCAGCGCGTTGCAAAAGTGATACAGTTCAATTTAATGCCATCCTTAATTCAACAACTTTTCTATTTGGGAAAAAATTCAGGCGAAAATACTTCTTGCGTGATTGATAACTCGACTGATGTTTTCTCACGAGATGCTTGCGTCGAAGACAGCATTTTTCAAGTATTTCGCGTTGATTCACACAATTTTCGTTATTTTATAGAGGTTACATGACAGTGTGTAGCAAATTCTGATTAGATAAATTCTTTATATGACGAAAAGGTAAACAAATGTAGGTGGATCGATCCCGTGGTGGAAGAAATTTGGCGTAAATTCAGCACAACGGGAGTCTTATTTAGTTGAAACCAACACCGGCCAGCCATAACAAGTCATGGACGCATCCTTGTTGTTTAGCATTACATGTTTACAAAGCGATCGGTTTGTTTGTTTGGGATTTAAATACCAGTTCGCTCTGAAAACCATATTAAGATAAGTCCTAAGATAGACGAAAAAAAAAAGATAAATGGGCGAAGAGTTTACCACTCACCGATAGCAAGCGCAGCCAACAGCTTGACGACAGGTTGCAGATCTTCTCTATCGCCGCATCCAGGGAAGATCGGCTCGATCACGTAAGCTCCAAACGCCAAACAGATGATAGCAACTTGCGAAGGCTTTAGCACAATGACAGATGTCCATGAATAGAGAAACGCTGCCAGTGGACCAAACCCTTCCAGTAAGTATACATACTCCGCTCCGGATAAAGGGATCATTGTGCCGAGTTCGGAGTAACACAGCGCTCCAAACATCGCTAAGACCCCGCATAGACTCCAGACAATCAAAGTCAGTCCAACAGAGCCACTGTTTTCCATGACATAGCGAGGCGAAGCAAATATTCCAGACCCTATCATAGTCCCTACGATAAGGCTGATTCCACTGGTAAGGCCAAGCTTTCGCTGCAACCCAACATAACTCTTCTGTCCGGCTGGTCCTCCTTCTTCACCTTGAAGTAGGTTGTCGACGGTGTTATCCTTGGCTTCACGAGAAAGATATTCCTCGCTACCCCAGTGGTTAGCAGGTTTGCCTTCAGCTGTATTTCCGTTCTCCATCTCGGTTGAGATCGCAGAAAATAAAAAAAAAAGGTGCGCTTAAGTAAAGCACGTGTAGGCTAAGTTGTAATCCCCAATGGAAATTAAAATATTCTTGATGGCCTACTTATGTTAATAGTTTCACCTTTCGAGGCGTTAGCCAATCAAGAGATAGACGGTGAACTTGAAAAGTAATCCTTCCAATAATTATGGAAGAAGAACAATTGAATTGTACGACCAGGTCGAGAACACAAACCCCCTGTCCTCGCTTGACTGGGATTAGTTTGGGCGCGAAAACCTCTTAAGTTTTTTTCGAGATAAGAGGTCAAGAAAAGGTGTTGTTGCTTTAAAATGTTTTTTTAATTACACTCAAAAATCAGTCACAGCTGATTAGAGACTGGAAGGGCAAACTCCAACCAAAACTATCGTGCTCTCAGTGAACTGTTCTACTTAGACATTTCTCAGTTTCACGTGTAAACCAAATTCACGATGGTCACGCAATGAATAGCCCACGTGTAGCCCTACCCTCCCCCCGTTTCACCTTGGTGGGGGAGGGTAGGACTACACTTAGGCTACGTGCTACGAAATTATTGAATGAGGATACCCGCGCAGAAACATTGCGTAAAGCTAGCATTGCTGCAAAAGCATTTGTCTGAACGTGAAAACTTGGCAATTTTAACCCGTACATAATTTACAAAAGAGCCAAGATAAAATGGAAGATCCGAAATCTTGGAGCACCTGTAAACCGGTTTCCATCCCGTTCCAAAGTACAAACAGCAATTATTTCAGTGAACCTTGGACTGAAAAGAAGTGAAATAGTAAAATATGTGAATTATCTTTCACATGTGAAACAAGCTAGAGGAATTTAAGGGTCACACCAAACACATTTTTCTGCGGGAGACAGCAAAAATTTTAGCTATCATTGCGCTTTGAATGGTGCTGCTGTGCTGCAAGCAAGGTGATCTCATGCCTCGGTGGGACATGGCAAGTCTGATTCAATCAAATGCCTCATTACCTGATGTCAAGAACAGCGGGAGGTAAAAAGATCGTATTCGAATTTTTTTTGCCCGTTTGTAATATTTGCTATCAATAGTAACAAAACTAAGAATTTAAATCTATCCTTACAAGTTTTTCCGCCATTTATCTAAAGAACTTTTAATCTATTCATCAGACTATACAGTTGGCATATTCATATAAATGAAACCTCTAAGATTTTTATCCATTTATTGTTATGTCTGTGTGTTTGAGATAAGGGGCCAGTCGAGGTTTTTGTTTAGGTTTTCTGTGGTATTCCTACCAAAGATTAGTGGCAACTGATTTGTGCATAAAAACGCGCGAAATCTGGTATGAATTTTTTCCTTCCTTTTTTTTTTCTGAAATCTACTACCTCGCAACTCACATGTACGGGAGCACTATTACTTTACTTATACAAATACATTTGGCGTGACAATTGCGATATAAATTGCACACATTAGCAAGAAAACATGTTTTAAACCAAGGAAAATGCTGGAAAGATGACAAAGAGCTGCCATTAAGAAGAGGAAAAACAACTTGGTATCCCCTCCGCCCTGAAAAGATATTCCTCCTGCGTGCATTTGGTAGACCGCAATTACTTAACGTTATACATAAAAACTCGAGCACGCAAATCTTTTTTTTGTTTTTAACGTCGACTGTATGGGCCACCAGCTCACTCTTGTTGCAGTTTTTAATACCTGTTGGGTAGTAAAAGTGTGACTAACTTTTTGACAGGTGCCTAGTGAAAAGACAAAAGAGCGCGTAAGAGTTGATTCGAACTGTTGATTTTCTACTATTTATCATGTCTTCCGAAATGGGACACGTTTAGATCATACGAGAACCTTGTTTAGGCAAAACACATTACCGATAAGATTGCGATGATGGAGGTCGCCGTTGTAAGCCAAAAACAACAGCCTTGGTTATTCAATCACCGGATGTAGGAACCATGTCAAAGCTTGTCTGGAGATCACATTTCGATCTATTTCTACGATTCAGGAACGACCACCTCCAATATCGGGTCCGACCTGGAAATTATTGGACTGATTTCGTAAGTTTGGTTCATTAATTCGTACTGTATACGTTTCTACAAGGTTTATCGATAAGCTTTCAGATTGAAACGAGTGTTTCGGCCTTCATTACGAAGTTTTCAGAGGGGTCTTCGGAAACTGTCGGTCCGTCGGAAAGACTGACGAAGCGCTCTACCCAGCCTCTCGCGGCCAAATTTCGCAGCTGTGTGATTAAATATGGCGGATCTTTGATCCTTTACCTTGTCACATACCGAAACAATCTCTCTCTTTGGCCGCGCTGAACTGAGAATCTCCTATATCAGAAAGTCGATGGAACATTGTTGTGGCGATGGCTACAAGGAATCTGACGGATACTTACGTAAATCTTCGCACCGAAATCAGCCGCTTCAAGGCATATTCGTTGGGTGACTCTGGTGTACGTTGTGATAGTCCAGGGGTAGTATACATCATTCCACGAACCTTACGAACAAACACCGTGCTATTTACTGTAAGAACACGCCATAATTTTAAACAAGCTACATACTGACGCCTCTTTTTTGTACGGATTGAAACAGGACGATGATACCGTTGCCCTTGTTAGAAGAACCAGTGATCTGGAACTCGGCGTACAGGCCGGAGGAATTAGTTCTTTACCGCCTCAATGGTGTGTATAGTTTCGTTTCTCGCTATTTACATATTGCACATATTTGTACAATGAAAACTGGAGTTTAAAACACACGATAACGTGATCGATTTTTCTTGTTTTTAACCTCAATTCAACATTCGTGTATTGCATTTAAATTTTCTAAAGGAAGTTAATATCATAGCGCCAATCTCTGGAAAAAGCATTGTGTTCCAATTGGAGTCTTATTGAATTTCATCTAATTGAGTGAGTGTTGTCATTACACAGAAAATTGAAATACACTGTAAACATGATAACAAGACGATCTAATGAAGAATTCTTAACGATCAACTGCAGTCAAATATCATAATTTCACATAGAAATTACTTTAAATTTCATCTCCAGCTTTCCTGATGAACTGGATCCCTTCGAGGTGCTTTTTTTTCTGGAAGTGAATTGTTTTTCTCACCAGTTTTATTTCATATACACGACTTTTCTTGTATTCATTTTCATCATTGCACACAATTAAAATCAAACTGTTTGGGAAAAATTTATGTCCTAGAGTAAATTTTGAACCACACATTTGAAACCAGTTTGTGTGTGTTTTCCTTGTGGGTTATGGTGATGTACCTGGAACTGAGAAAATATATTTCAAGCTATTTTAACATCACTTTTACTTCACATAAATACAAATGTATCAGTTGAGGGTGAGAATTTCTTGTTAGTTGATTTAGTGTTTCAGTATTCTGTAACTGTAGCTAAGTGTATCTTACAAAAGTCAAAAGTTTTTTCTCCACTGAGAAAAATCAAAAACATAAGATGATGGTCCAACTGTGCAAAGTGCTCACTGAACTGTAACTTACATAAAATCTGATTTATCCAATCTATATACTTTTTTTAAAAATATCTCTCCCCACCAAGAAGTATAATCTCAGATTTTATAGCTACACTGTGTGTCTTTCAAGAGTATCAACCCTTTTAAAATAACCCTTTAACTCCCAGAAGTGATTAACATGTAACTTCTCTCTATAATATCCATACAATATCCAGTGAACAGGTGATGAGAATATTCAAACTAATGAGGTTGAAGTTGTTATCTTGATCTAACACCAAATTCTCATAACTTATTAACAAGAAATTGTGTAGCAACTAGAAGGGAGAATCAAAAATCAGATCTTGGGATTTTAAGGGTTAACCCCAAGAATGATCAGCATCTAATATCTCCTTACAGTTCTACTGCTGAATCTTCCATTAAGATCAGGATAATGAAAGGAATGATGTTCAACCTGCAAAGCTTTGACTGTTAAACAAATTCTCCTTGTCTGTACTAAGGGAAATGTGTAGAGAGGAGTATAGAGAATATAGATACTGATGTTAGGGTTCAAAGAGTTAACCTATGTCCCTGAAGATTAGCACTTTACTCTTTAAATGTTAATTTTTATAATATGTGATAATTCAACTGTGTTTTACCTTGTTCACTGCTATAGGGTTGATGTTGTTGAGGAGGTAAGATTTCTTTTCGCTTTTTGATTGTCGATGTCATCAGAATAGAAAAAATAACTGAATGTTGTAAACTGTTGTAATCTCTGAAATGTCCTTTGGTAACTTTGGATTCAGAATTATCATAAAATCTACAAGGGGAGATTTTGTTTCATGTTACTTTTCAGACTTTTCTTTTTGCACAATAAGTGTACCATGAGATTTGTAAATAATTTGAACATTATTAGGTGTTTCTTTCTGAACTTGCATCTCAATGCTGGTGAATCAGAATGTTAATGATGTCTTAATTTGTGTGGTGTAATGTATATGTAACCTTTCAAGCTATCAAAAACAATCTAGGTGATGCCAATAAATATCCTATGGTGTTTTTAACAATATACTTTTAAGTAATGATCTCTATGTGTATAATTGAACACTGATTGAATTTGCATTTTATTTTTTTTACTTTTTAGATTCAGTATGAAATCACTAAAATAAAACAAAGAAGTGAGTTGAATTCTGATCAAACTATAAATTTTAAATTAAGATTATTATAACAGTAATATTTATGGACTTGAGAGGTCCAAAGTTACAAATTCTCACTCATTTATGTTATATACTGCCTTAGTTCTGATTAGTTTAGAAAAAAATGAATCATTATCCTAATTGTTTAGACTTGTCATTTGACTGACTAAAAACATTTGGTAATGTGAGCAAAGTACTGTTGCGGCACTGTTATTAGCAACAATATAAGCAAGGATTCTGTCAAGTTCAGGAACATTATTCCATGGCTGTCTTAAGTTAATTTTGCCATGTTCAATTTGCTTGTGAAATATCCTGACTGTATAATCTCTTATTATTCCCATCAGTGCAAGAACTGGCTACTCTTCACGATCGCCATCTGAACAGACCAACCCTTGATGACAGTGTGGATGAAGAACAAACAATAGAAATAACAACAAAGGAAATAACACAGGTACACTTTATAAGGAGGGGAGGGAGACATGTTGGCCTAATGGTTGGTGCACAGGACTCCAGGTAGAGAGGTCCAAATTCAAGACCTGGCTGGGTCATTGTGTTGTGTTTTTGGGCAAAACTCTCTACTCTCACAGTGCTTCTCTCCACTAAGAGTATAAATGGGTACCCGCAAATTGTCAGGGAAGCCTGATGAAATGGTGGGGGATAACTTTGTGATGGACTGGCATCTCATCCAGGGGGGAGTGGTGATA